ACCAAAAAGTCATATTGTAAAAATCCTACTTTTTGTAGCATTTTCAAATGGGCTTCTTTCACTTAGTAATGAAGGAGGAAACAGACAGAGCTGGACTCCGTCTTAGGCCAGGCTGTGAGCATTAGGCTACACTCACGGTCACCTTCCCAGTGGACTCTGAACTTTGCACCCTGGTGTCTGTAGAAATGGCATACCAATGGGAAATCAGATCCCACCCCGCCCCCCCCCCCATAAAAGAGCCTCAGGAATTGTACTTGGACTCTCTTGTCTAAAAGAATATGTTAATTATCTCTGTAACAGAACAAAGTGGTCAATTAAATTCTGTTTATTGGGATATGACCACAGGCCTGCTGATAAATATCCACTGTTTATTGAGTCCTGTGACACATGAATCAGGGGTTAACTTTGATTGTATCTCTCTTTTACCTTGTCCAGACTAGTTTCAAGGAATTTGGGGAGGTGGGTTTGAGCAAGTACACTTAGGGTATATAAAGTTATCACAAAAACTGTTCAGGGTCCTTGGCTAAGAGGAGACTCTGCCTTGGCCCTGCCCATGTAATAAATTGCACTGCACTATCTGCATTGTCCTTCTGAGTGAGTTTGTTTCCCAGAATGCATGGCTACAACAGTAAAATGCATGGAATGATTGTCAATGTATTTTATGCCTTGAAAGCTTAACACTCAAAAGTTTAAGAACTACCTCTGCGCCTATATTCCTGCTGAGTAAATAAGTTCATCAATACCATTTTTTAAATTCCATACATATCTGTTAAGACAATATTTGCACAAATATAGAGATCAGACATGGACACCGCAGTAGAAGAAGAGGGGGACCAATTGAAAGGGTACCATTGACATATATACACCACCATGGGTAAAATGTTGGAGAAGACTCTTGAGAGTCCGTTGGATTGCAGGGAGATGCAATCAGCCCATCCTAAAGGAAATCAGTCCTGATATTCATTGGAAGGACTGATGTTGAAGTTGAAACTTCAATACTTTGGCCATCTGATGTGAAAAACTGACTCATTTGAAGAGACCCTGACTCTGGGAAAGATTGAAAGGGGGAGGAGAAGGGGACGACAGAGGATGAGGTGGTTGGATGACATCACTGACTCAGTGGACATGAGTTTGAGCAAGCTCCAGGAGTTGGTGATGGACAGAGAGACCTTGCGTGCAGCACTCCATGGGGTCGCAAAGAGTCAGACACGACTGAGCAACAGAACTGAACTGATGATTAAAATAGGTAGCTGGTGGGAAGCTGCTATTTACCTCAGGGAGCTCAGCTTGGCGCTCTGTGCTGAGCAGAGGGGTGAAACGGAGACCACGGGAGGGAGGGCCAAGGGGGAGAAGATTTTTGTATACTTACGGCTGATTGATGATGTCATACAGCACAAACTAACACAACATTGTAAAGCAATTATATTCCTATATATATATATATGTCTCAAATGGAAAAAAAGCTTAACAGACTGGTCACCCAGTGGTTGAGAATCCATCTGACACTGCAGGGGACAAGGGCGTCATCCCTGGTCCAGGAATACTCCACATGCTGTGGGGAGACTAAGCCTGTGCCCCACAGCTGCTGAGCCTGGGCGGGGCAGCTTGCTCTTTTCGATGGACAGGAGGGAAAAGAAAGATGCTCACCATCGCTAAACAATAAGAAATGCAGAACAAAGCTACAGTGATGTATCACTTCATGCCAGTCAGAATAACAATGAACAAAAAGCCCACTAAGAATATCATAAACGCTGAAGGGGCTTGGAGATCAGGGAATCTCCTACATGGCTGGAGGGATTGTAAGCTGGTGCAGTCACGTGGGTGGATCCTGTGGAAGTTCCTTAAAAAACATAACCTCCTGACATTTAAGGAAATGAATTCCATGAAAAGTAGACAAAAGATATTAATCGACAAATTGACAAACTTTACAGTTTTTAGTAAATCAGCTGCAATTCTGAAATGACGAGTTTTGATCTAGCATTTCTAAATTCTCTAAATTAAATATGTAGGAATACACATACACTCACATATTCCTTCTTCATTTTCTCACTGCTAACATGTATACCTTCAGATATTTATATCTTGTATTCAATGTGTGTTCTATAAATCATATTATGTGTATATCTTCTGATATTTATATATTGCATTCAAAGTATGCCAAAGCCATGAGAAAACAGTTCCTTTAAGCCTTACAAGACACGTGTGTGAAGAATTACACAGGGTAAGATTTTATAAATCTTGGTTCAGAATTTTCCCATCATGGCTTTTGACTATTCTTTTTGTGACTTTGTTACACTTATATTTGCTTAAATGAGCCCCTGAAAAGTTTTAGCTAACAGAAGAACAGAGTTTATGACTCTAGGTCCTCAGAGAATTCACAGCAAGCTTTGAGGGCCCTTGAGGAAGGTCAAGGCTAGAACCAGGCAGAGAAAATTCCAGTCCTTGGGGTTCAGACCTGACCCTGGGTGAAGTGCTGTGGGTCCCTCACACTGAGTGTGGAGGGGTCCATTCAAACAGACGAGCAGGATTCTGGTGAGCTCAGAGGGTATCACTGAAGGGGGGCCTGTGCAGTAGACCCTGGGGTTCAGCAAGACTGCTGGTCCCAAGGAAGGGGTCATCTAGTGCAGGTGCTCACAGGTCTGGCTGGTGTGAGTCCAAGAACCTGCAGGCTGCCTGCTCCCCAGACAGACGCTGAGGCAGCAACAGCATGGAGCAGCTCAGGGGAGCTCTCAACAGTGCTCTGTATGATCCTTCTTATTAGAACCACAGCGATGTCCAAGTAGATACAAATCGGAGAGGAGATACAACGTAGAAATGGCGGGAAATATATGAAGTTATCAGAGGTTTAACGGCACTAAGGAACTAATTTCTACAGATGCCATCCCCCTGTGCTTCAAATAGTTTATCATTACGTTACCTTTCCTGCAACCTTAAATAGGTGGGAGAGGTTAATGCTGGTGGTGCGTTAACCCTTCATTCATTCCACATCAATTGTAACACTGAAAAACCATTCACTTTTATTAATTAAGATACATTAATTTTATACAGATGGAATAAAACCTTTTACAATTGTTGCTTGATCCTTGATTAAAATACACATTACAAGCTTCTAAAAACTTTCCTCTTTCTCTGATGAAGTGATCTGAGAATGTGATTTATATGGTTTACAAAACGAAGGCTAATTGAGTAAACATGGATGGACATTATTTATATTAATATGACTTTTCCAGAAAGAGTTTTCTATACTTACATAAGATAGAAGAGAAGGTTTCCTTAGTTCAAGCCTGCCAGATAATATGCATGATTTCTCTATGTTGCTGTTATAAAAATACCTTAGATTTTCATGAACTATCCTTGTTTTATGATTTAAAAGCAACAAGCATAATTATTGAAAACTTAGAGCAAACTTCTGTCTTGCTTTGAATTATTCCCTGAACACTTACATCATGGTGATCACAGAGGTGTTTGACATCAGTGACAAATACTTCCATTCAGAGGTTTAGTGTGTATATAACATGACTATGTTCTTAATCTTATAAATTGGAGAATAAAAGTAAATGATTCCCACTTAATATAGAAGGGCTTCTCTTATCATTGGGCAACAAACATCAAAAACATAATTTCATGTATACAATAGAAACAAATCACAGCATGTAGTAATTTGAGAGTTGAATTACATTTGTTTTGGTTCCTAATAATCTCAAAAAACATTAACATAAACAAGGACACATTAATAATAATTATAACTCTGCAAATATCCACCCCTTCATCTTGTGATCCATACTAACATATCAATTTGTATGTGTTTTACTTATGGAATACTTGCTGCAGTGTTTCTACTTAGAGTAATTCAACAAAAGTGGTACTAATGAAATGCTTTCTAGTGTGAATTCTCTGTTATTGAGTTATGTTTGATGTTTGATTAAGCAGTTTTCTACATTTTTTTATTTCATTCATGTATCTTTCCAAAGAAAACACTCATTTTTTCAAAACTGTATATTTAGGATCAACTTCTTTTTAATCACATTCATTTCTAGGGTTTCTCTGCAGTATGTATTCTGTGATTGTGAGTGAGGTGATGGCTGTGATGAAATGCTTTGCCACATTCCTTACATTTCTAACATTTCTCTGCAGTATGAAGTCTCTGATGTCGAGAAAGAACTGAACTCTGGGAAAAGGCTTTGCCAAAGTCTGTACGTTTATTAGGTCTCTCCCCAGTATGGATTCATTGATGTTGAGTAAAGAGTGAATAATGGATAAAGGCTTTGCCACATTCTGTACATTTATAAGTTCTCTCCCCAGTATGGATTCGCTGATGTTGAGTTAAATTTCAACTCTGCTTAAAGGCCTTCCACATGCTGTACATTTATAAGGTCTCTCCCCAGTATGGATTCGTTGATGTCGAGTAAGAAGTGAATAATGGATAAAGGTTTTGCCACATTCTGTACATTTGTATGGTTTCTCCCCGGCATGGATTCGCTGATGTTCAGTTAAATATGAACTCTGATTAAAGGCTTTGCCACATGCTGTACATTTGAAAGGTTTCCTTCCTGTATGAATTTTCCTATGTCTACTTAGATTTGGTGAGTTACTAAAGACTTTTTCACATGTATTACACTTGCAATGTTTCCGCTTAGTCTGAATATTCTGCTGTTGAATAAGTTTTGAAGACTGGTTAAAAACTTTACCATAATCATAACAATTATAAGTCTTCTCTCCAATATCCATACTCTTATAAGTATTAATAGTAAGATTTGAGCTTTGATGAAACATATTCCTACACTTATTATGTTCAGAATTGTCTGAAAATTGCTGTCCCTGTTGTTTCACGAGATATGAGTCTTGGTCAACATTATGCCCAGTTTCATTGCATGAAGAGCTTCTCATTCCATCGTGTATACTCTTGCAATTATTGGGGGTAGAGCTCCTGCTTAAGGCATTACTCATTTTGTTACACTTGTAAAGTTGTTCCACACTAACTATACCTCCATATGTATTGATCAATGATGGTTAAGGTCTCTCCCATTATTATCAACATTACAGCTTTTGGAACAAGGAGAAAATAGTTGTTGGTTGAAGGACAAGAAACCCTTGTTAAAGGATCCCTCAAATTGATTGTATTTGGAATTTCCCCCCTCATTTCTTAGTTTCTGGTTTCCAGACATGTTTGAATGTATATTTAATAGACAGCTATGCTCAGAGTATAGGTTTGAATGAGTATTTGCAGTAGAGACTAGATGACTTTCCAGATTTTCCACATTTCCCTTCAGAGAACATGTATGTTTCAAGAGATGATGTGGGCCTTTGCTGACAAATATACACTTATCTGCAGATGTTGATGACTGAAACTGGTCATCTGAAATTGGTTTTTCCTTATTTGATTCACATCCTTGATTTCCTTTGGCGGTAATGTTTACTTTATGGGAAACTGGACCAACTTGGTTGTGTCCATCATAACATGCTCTCCGCTCTTTATATGCCCTCATAGATTGCCAGTCTTTGGTTAAATGTAAATTTCCAAGGTGAAATCTTTCATATATTCCTAGCTTTGCTGTTGGGAGTAAATCTTCTAAGCCTGGCTTTTGGGTCCTCAAACCCTGGGAGTCATGAGAAGACACAGCTGAAAGATACCAAATAATAAGATATTCTACTTACTATTCTTGGGGAATATAGTTTACAATTTACATAAAATTGGCATACACTTCGCTAGATTAAGCCTAAAACCGAGATAGAAGGAGTCACGATGGCAGAGGATTCAGAATACGTGGAGTTTATCTCTCTCCACAAAAACATCAAGAATACATCTTGAAGTGGAAAAATTCTCAGAGAGCCCTGCAGAACACAGACAGAGGAACTTGGACACCTGAAAGGACAAGAACGATTCCTGCTGAGCCAGGTAGGACAAAAGAGTGATGGAGGAAAGGGAAGAGGAAAAGAAGCCGGATGGGACCTGCAAAACCCTGGGGGATCTGAAGAGAGGAGAGGTCTCCACATCCAGGGAAGCCCCTCATTGGGGGGAGCTCAGTTGGGACAGAAGGGGAGCCTCGTTCTCTGTGGGAAGAGAACACGGCAACCAGCGTGCAGGACAGAGTGAGACCTGCACGCAGGGTACTGACCCCTGCCCTGCCCACCCAGCCTGAGAGTGTGTCCTCCGATGCAGACAAGGGATGGGTGCTGGAACGTGGCGTTTGGAGAGCAGACCCAGGCAGAGGACTGTGGTTGGCGGTGAGCAGACATCCTGAGGGGATGGGACGGAGGGAGGAGCTATGCAAATGGGATGCTTGTGGAGGAAGCCTGAACCACCAGAGAAGCAGAGCGGCGCTATTGAGTGATGCCCAAAGGGAAGAACCTCCTTGCAGCCTCTCTGCCCCTCTGCCTGTCCCTGCCTCTCCAGGCACTAGGAATGGCTCCCACCTAGGTGGGTGGTCTCATGACCCCCACAGCTCCTTCCTCCTTCCCAGCCTCCTCCCCACCAGGGTAGACTCATGGGCTCCAGGGGCACCTTCAGAGCACATGCCTGTGGGTGGTCCCAATGGACATGTGGTGCTGAAACCACAGCTGAGCCCCAAGGCCCTACCACTAAGCAAGAAAAGCTGAGATCTCTCCTTGCATCTGTACAAACCATGGTGTTACACCCCACAACTGGCTTGGTAAACTTAGACCCAACAGAACATCTGGATGGAAATGAGGCTCTGGCATTCAAGGCCAGTCTGGCTTTAGCTACTGTAGACTCTGTAGGCATGCACATGAGGCATTTGGGCCAGGTCACAGTCTACATTGCCCCCATAGCACCGCAGCGGGTCCAGCTCCACAATGAATGTACACCTGGGATATGACCACAGTGGATCTCTGCTGGTGACCTGGTGAAAACAACATCGGAGAGACACCAGGGTCATGGGCCAGCATACCCACGGTTCAGGTGGGGCCAAGAACAATGCCAACACAGGGTCACACGAGAGCTCCCACAGCACATGAAAGATGACTCGCAGAGCACTCTCCGAGGAGAACATCCCCAGAGGAGCAACACTCAGTGGCTTCCCTCCCCGTGGGTGTGCTCCAGTCCTACTAGATCAGAAGCACCACAGATCAGAGCAGAGCTCATTTCAGATCTGGGGCCTCTGCTCCACCAATCAGGAAGCAGACCCCACCACAGACAGTGACAGCCACAGAGGAAAGGCGAAGCGGCCCTCAAGATCCAGGCAGGCTCTGGTCACAATAGTAACAGCCAACCCCCTCTCAAGGGCAGAAGGGCACAAGTCTCTCGACCGCCTCACCCACCACGGGGCAGACACCAGAGCAAGAGGAACTAGGATCTGCAGCCTGCAGAACAGAGACCACAAACACAGAACATTGGACAAGATGAGATGAAAAAGGAGTATGGTGCAGAGGAGAAGTAAAGATAGAAACCTACAGGAACAACGAAGCGAGGAGGAGCTGAGCAGTGTAATGAGTAATTTCTGCTTCAAGTAATCAAACTTACAAACAAAACATTTTCACAAATGCTAATGCCTACTAATTATTTAACCCACTTACCACTCATGTTGTTATCTGAGCATGTTCTAATAGAGTCTAAAATAGTAAATGCTATTGACCTAGAACTAATCAGAATAGATGGCATGAACGATAAAGCCCTGGGATCTTTCATAACAGACAAGATGGATTTAATAAGGTAAGTGTTCTTAACAAACAAAATGAGAAGTGAGACTTGAACAATATGGTTAGAACACAGGGACCTCTACTCAATGCTCTGTGGTGACCTAGATGGGAAGGAAATCTACTCAAGAAGGGAAATGTGTATATGTATCACTTATTCTTTCTGTACAGCAAAACTCACATAACTTTGTAAAATAGCATTATTGGAACAGAAAAATTTCTTCTTAAAGATTTCTCTATACAATCTATAAGCTTAAGAGTGAAGAACAATCAGAAGAAAGCACTGTGGGAAATGTTCTAAACTCCCACATCAATAATTTCTTGAAAAACTCTGTGAGTTAAATAAACATATTAAAGTATTTTAGCATTAATGAATTGGGGCAAATATACTTAACACATTTAATGTTAGTTGATATAAAAAAGAGAAACTTTAACATAAAGTTCAGATTTGCATTTTCTCATTTTAGTGAGGTGTCTTATGCAGTGAAGAAAGAATTTGAGTATGAAATTTTTAAGGTCATATGTGTAGATTCCAGTGGACTGGAAATTATGTGGTAGAAAACAAAAAACATCTGTCCCCAGTATTCCTAGAAGTTTGGCAGTTTTTTCACAGCTCCACCCACACACTTCTGACTAGGGACAGAATCAGCACTTTTAAAAGGGCTTAATATAGTTACTCAGAAATATGCACAGATTTTCTAAAACCTCCCCAAAATGGACGAGTTATCAGATCATGCAGGTTGTTCCAGGCCAAGACAAATATTTTGGTTCTACCTGTGAATGTGAAAATTAATCACTGGAGAAAAACACACAAATGATAAAAAGAATCAGGAATGGGTCAGGAGAGGAGGCTCTATGACAGTGACAGAAATAAACCTAGGCTAATCCGAAATCATCTCCACTGAAGCAGATCTTCTCAGACCACACGACAAAGTATGACTTCCTCCCCAATGCTTGTCCCTCTCACCTGAGTTATCTGCTTCACCCATAGACACATACTTGGGTATATGGCTGTCTCCATTCTCCTTACATCCCAGGGATCCTTCATTTGCTCCAGAAACGTGACCAGGTCTGGCTTAGAGACCACAAGACCTGTTCATCAGAAAAAGGAATATGTGTTTTCTGAGCTAGTCATCAATTTCCAATCCAATATGTATTCAGCTGAGAGAGAAGTCAAGGCAGAAAGTTAAAATAGCATTAAAAAAATGATTTCACCAAATAGTTTATTGGAAGCATCTTTAAAAGACAAATGCATCAAAATCAGATTCTGGTATTATGCTCAAGTACCACTAAGGCAAAAGCAAGTAGTGGAGTTCCGGTTTTAAGAGGAGAGTGGCACTATTTGATACCACAGAACTTACAGAATTACCACGAACCTAGAATGAAGTATATGCAGATCAAGAAGCAGCATTTTGAATCATACATGGAACAGTTGACTGGTGGCAGATTGGGAAAGGAGTACATCAAGGCTGTACATGGCCACCCTGCTTATTTAATTTCTATGCATAGTACATCATGCGAAATGCTGGGCTGGATGAATCACAACCTGGAATCAAGATTACCAGGCGAGATACCAACAACCTCAGATATACAGATGGTATCACTCTAATGGCAGAAATTGAAGAGGAACTAAAAAGGCTCTTGATGGGGGTGAAAGAGGAGAGTGAGAAAGCTGGCTTAAAACTCAACATTCAGAAAACTAAGATCATGGCATCCAGTCTCATCACTTCATGGCAAATAGATAGGGGAAAAGTGGAAATAGTGACAGATTTACTTTTGGGAGGGGGGTAGGCTCCAAAATTACTGCAGATGGTGACTGCAACCATGAAATTCAAAGATGCTTGCCCTTTGGAAGAAAAGCTATGACAAAGACAGCATATTAAAAAGCAGAGACATCACTTTGCCTACAAAGGTCCGTATAGTCAAAGCTTTGGTTTTTTCAATAGTCATGTATGGATGTGATATTTGGAACATAAAGAAGGCTGAGCACCAAAGAACTGATGCCTTCGAACTGTGGTGCTGGAGAACACTCTTGAGAGTCCCTTGGTCAGCAAGGAGATCACACCAGTCAATCCTAAAGAAATCAACCCTGAATATTCATTGGAAGGACTGATGCTGAAGCTCCGATACTTCGGCCACCTGATGCGAAGAGCCAATTCATTGGAAAAGACCCTGATGCTGAGAAAGATTGAGGGCAGGCGGAGCGCAGCGCGGAGCGGGGAGCGGCGGCCGGCGGGCGGCGGCGGCAGCGGCGGGCGGCTGCTGGCACCGGCTGCGCGAGCAGGTTACCCGCGGTGGAGGTAGCCAGGCCGCCCCAGGGGGGCGATCGCGAAGGCTAGGGCCCCGGCCCGCCGCGACCCGATGCTGCGGTGAGCGCTCGAGCTCCACGCACTTGTCTCCGCTCCCTGCCGGCCCCAGCCCCGAGCGATCCGGCGCTCGCCGCCCCGCCAACCCCGGCCCTACCTGAGGCCGCCGTCGGGGGAGGGGTGTCCCCCCAGCTCCGCGGAGCCGCATGAACAATAGGCGGCGGCGGCTCCTGCGGGCGGCGGCAGCCCCGCACCCTATGGATCGGCCGCTCCATGGAGCCCTCCAGTGCGCTTCTCGGCTGCCTGGCGAGCGCCGCTGCTGCCGCCCCGCCGGGGGAGGATGGAGCCGGGGCCGGGGCCGAGGAGGAGGAAGAAGAGGAGGAGGAGGCGGTGACGGCCCCCCGGGAGCTGGGCTGCGGCGCGCCGCTGCCCTACTGGACTGCCGTGTTCGAGTACGAGGCGGCGGGCGAGGACGAGCTGACCCTGCGGCTGGGCGACGTGGTGGAAGTGCTGTCCAAGGACTCCCAGGTGTCCGGCGACGAGGGCTGGTGGACCGGGCAGCTGAACCAGCGAGTGGGCATCTTCTCGAGCAACTACGTGACCCCGCGCAGCGCCTTCTCCAGCCGCTGCCAGCCCGGCGGCGAGGACCCCAGTTGCTACTCGCCCATTCAGTTGTTAGAGATTGATTTTGCGGAGCTGACCTTGGAAGAGATTATCGGCATTGGGGGCTTTGGGAAGGTCTATCGTGCTTTCTGGATAGGGGATGAGGTCGCCGTGAAAGCAGCTCGCCATGATCCCGACGAGGACATCAGCCAGACCATAGAGAACGTCCGCCAGGAGGCCAAGCTCTTTGCCATGCTGAAGCACCCCAACATCATTGCCCTTCGGGGGGTGTGTCTGAAGGAACCCAACCTCTGCTTGGTCATGGAGTTTGCCCGTGGAGGGCCTTTGAATAGAGTATTATCTGGGAAAAGGATTCCCCCAGACATCCTGGTAAACTGGGCCGTGCAGATTGCCAGAGGGATGAACTACTTACATGATGAGGCAATCGTCCCCATCATCCACCGCGACCTTAAATCCAGCAACAGTGAGTATGGAGAGGTGGGGCTGGAGGGCTGGAGATCACTTTCAGACCTGGTCCATAGCTTGGGTTGGGGTGGATGTGTCAGGAATCTTATTGGGCAGTGAAATGCCCTGCATAAAGCCAGTCCATCCTTTGGGAATTCTCTGGCGGTTCAGTGGTTACGGCTCTGTGCTTCCACTGTAGAGGGTGTGGTTGGGGAACTAAGATCCTGCATGCCACATGGCACAGCCAAAAAGAGAAAGAAAAAGGGGGAAAAAATTACCAAAAAAAGAAAAGAAGAAAAATACCAAAAAAAGAAAGAACCCAATTAGCAGGCACGGTTGGCGGTGTGTAACTGTGATGTACTATTCAAACAAAACGCATAGGTTCGTTTTTCCATTCTGAGGAAAGGGTGGGTGCTTCTGAACACAAAAGGAGTTTTTCTCTTTAGTGAAACAATAGATAGAGCAAACCAATACCATCTATTTGCATTTCTGTCTGAACTGTCCAACCTGAGTTCCCACCAGAGAAGGGGAATAAGAGAGAGGAGGCGTGTCGTTTAAGCCGTGAGGCCCGTTCAGGTGACCGTGTCAGCTTGGGGAACACGACCTCACTGGTAGACCTACAGCTCTCCTGATGGCCTCAAGGTGGTATTAATTAATTGTCATAACTACACAGTGTTTAATAGCAGGGAACTGAGAAGTAACTGTTTATTAAACATCTAGAACCCATAAACTGGAATGTAAAGCAAGTGTTAGACATAATTAAATGGCGGGTTGGTATCAACTTCAGTCTCTTTCCTTGGCTGAATCAGCAGGCCCTGGGAGTATGCTTCTTTTGTGTGGTAATTTGGACTTTCCCCGGCCTAAACTGCATGGTAGAGAGGATACAGTTTGTTAAGTGGTATATGCCTAAAGTCACTTTGGGCATCCTGTCCAGAGAGGAGGGCGTTAGATGAGTTTGGGGTCCCAGGAATTTCACGCTCTGTGTCCTTCAGCTTTGAGCCCAGAAATCCTTTAGACCCTGTTTTCCTCCTGGTTGTTCCAGATGTGGCTTATTTTTGTGTTGATGCTATTGTGAATCTGTTAACTTTAAAAAATATGTTTTAAATAATGTAGGTAGTAAGTACTTTTGTTCTGCAAAAATTAGGAAGTGTAGATAAACAGAAAGAAGGATCACCCATAATGTTTTCCTTCTGGAAGTGTATATATTGCATTTGGCATATTTTCCCAGACATTTAAAAAGCATATATGGCCCATATATACAGAAATATACTTTCCAACTTACTTTAAAATAGCATTTGTTACCCTTATCTCATCTACATGCATCCTCTTCCCCTTTAGTAAGAGCAGATTTCCTCCTGGTGAGAGTATGGAGCATTAGCTGTGTATTATGGATATAATGCATGTGAAGGATTTAAGTTCCATAAAGTAAATCTGGTTCCTCTTTTCCTTCTGCCATTATTCTATCTCTTTACTGTATGATTATTCTCATCCCTCCTGCACAGTTCTGTTCTTTAAATGTGTATGTGTGTATATGCCTAGTTGTGTCTGACTCCTTGCAACTCCATGGACTATAGGCTTCTCTGTCCATGGTGGGGGATTCTCCAGGTAAGAATACTGGAGTGGGTTGCCATTCCTCCTCCAGGGGTCCTTCCCGACCCAGGGATCGAACCCAGGTCTCCTGGGTTCTTTGCAGATGGATTCTTTACCATCTGAGCCACCAGGAAAGCCCTTTAAATGTATAAAATAAGTTAAAACTTCTGCTGACTTCCTTTTTAAGGAAAAAAAAAAATTTCTACCTAGAGATTGCTTTGGATGATGGAGTGAGAATAAGCAGATGTGTTGGTAGAAAACGTGATATAGAAGCTGAATTTTTAAAAAATGCATTCTTATATCCTTATCATGCTGGGTGAACCAGGCATTGTGCACTAATCTTACATAATTGAGCCCATTTAAAAACTTGGTCTAGGGTGATTGTAAAAGTTAATAATTTCCTCTATGAAGTTTTACATCTGGGTATAATTTCAAGCTGCAGATACAAGGTTTTACATTTTTTGATTTATGTTTGGAAGTCTAGACTCTTTCAGTATATGTGCTGCCGAAGCGAGCACGGAAGTCTAGACTCTTATGAAGGGAAAACTAACTTGCTAAGGAGGTGCAGGGGACCTGAGTGTCATTCTGTCTCCTTGGAGACAAAACCCTGGTCCTTGTCCTAATGTGGGTTTTAGGATTTCCGAGGGGGACCTTCAGGTACAGTGTATGGTGGCAGGGCATACATAGGGTACTATTTTAAAGGACCTCATCCAGCAAGACGGTTGATGCCCTGAAATGTGCATAGTCCACTGGTGCTGATGTTGATGCCTGCTGTAAATCTCACATGTGAGTTGGGGTAACTCCTTGGTATTTGTCTGTGGGTGGCTGTTTGTCCGTGATTGAATTTATCCAATATGAACCCCGATGACACTGTTGTTCTTATTCCATTGCTGCGTGTACCGACTTGAAAATCATTTTAGAAATGTTACGTCATTTCTTTGCCTGCAGAATGAGAGTTGTAACTTCTTTGTGTTTTGCAGACTTGGGGGTACTGGGGATACTTGGGGATACTGTTTCGCTTGGTTTTTATTAGAAGCTCCAGAGAGTTGCATTTTGTTTATAGTCATGTGAGGGCAGAATTCTGTGAATTATATGTGTTAGTTGACTTTGAACCCCTAGAGAAAAGAATAAGGTATACATGGGGGTTGTCTTGTGGAAAAAAGGAAATAGCTGGTGATAAAGTCTGTTACAAAACGTTCAGTAAAAAAGTAATTTATTAAACGGTTTTATATATCCTGAAAAAAAAAAAAAAGAAAGATTGAGGGCAGGAGAAGAGAGTGGCAGAAGATGAGATGGTTGAATAGCATTATTGACTCAGTGGATATGAATTTAAGCAAACTCTGGGAGTTAAAGAAGGCTAGGGAAGCCTGGCTTGCTGCATTCCATGGGATCGCAAAGAGTTGGACATGACTTAGCGACTGAACAAGGAGGCGGGTTGCATCAAGAAAGAAGGTTACTTTCCCCTGGAAAGCAGGGATCTTACCCTCAACTGGACAAAGCAGAAAATTCCAGGAGACATTCTAGAATGAATGAACCAAAACCCTGAGGATACATAAGGGATTCTGGAAGCAAGTTATCCTCACCCAAACAGGCCAGATTCCCATAGTTCTCTAACATGGTCCAGGCATTTCCACTCCTCTTGACTGAAATCTATGGTCACATCCTGGAATGTCAGCAGCCCCTAAAGGACATGAGCCACGTGAACCTAGGAAGACTTCCTAATGTGACCCAAGATGAAACCAGTAAGAGATATGGTTTTGATTCAGGAGAATCTGGTCTGGTGTTACACAAGAATATAATTTTTATACTACCGTATTTTCCACTGTATTTCTAACCCCAGGAAAAGAGAATGAGATATGATCCACAGACCACTATAGAAACTATTCTGATCTGGAAGAGAAATTATAAAACAATCACATCAAAACTGACTTGTCTAACTTTGAGAGTTGTACTCGTGTGACACAGGATAAACTGTCTATCAAGGAAAGCATGTTAGTCACTCATATCTGATTCTTTCCGACCCCATGGACTGTAGCATGCCAGGCTTCTCTGTCCATGGGATTTTTCAGGCAAGAATACTGGAGTGAGTTGCCATTTCCTTCTCCAGGGGGATCTTCCCCACCAAGGGATCGGACCCGTGTCTCCCACATGGCAGGCAGATTCTTCACCATCTGAGCCACCAGGGAAGCCCCCTATCAAGGAAACAGGAAATATTTTTAAAAAGCATGATCCTCTGATCTAAGAATTCTGGAGTGGGGCCAAAGTGCCGCATTTTTAACAAGCTTATTTTAACTAGTAATGTTGAAAATTCTGATACATGAATGACTGTTCTGAATAGCAAAGAGGTAGACCACTAAGGTAAGAATTTATACTTAACTTTGAATTTTAAGTGTTTTACAAAATTGACAGGTCTGATAGAATAGTACCTATAGCAGCCATAATCATTTGAACTATTTAGTATATACTATATGTCTTTCTAAAAGTTTTTACAGGGTCTTGAATGTATCACATACATAATATAAAATCAACAACATTGTTGTTCCACCGTTTTGCAAATATTTTGTCCAACATTCATTAAATGACAGATCTTGAATTTGCTTCAGTTTATGTGAACTAATATTTAACTAGTAAAGCACAAATACACAGAGACAACACTAAAGAAAGTGTACACAAGCTTTCATAGGGTCTTCCCTGGTAATCTGAGCTCCCAAGTCAGGGGGCTGGGTTCAGTCCCTTGTTAGAGAACTAGATCCCACACACCAGAGCTAAAGTGTGCCTGCTGCCACAAAGTCTCCCACATGGCTCCAAGATTTTGCAGGCTACGACCAAGACACAACTCAGCCAAACATAAATATGTGTATTTTTTAAAAAGAACTTTATATAACTGGGGAGAATACCAAAACAAGAAAAAAAATAATTTTAACATTTTCATGCATACAGGCATATGTTAAAATGAGACTATATACTTATTAAGAGTATTAAGGAAAAGCTAACATTCAGAAAACTAAGATGATGGCATCTGGTCCCATCACTTCATGGCAAATAGATGGGGAAAGTGTGGAAACAGTGGCTGACTTTATTTTGGGGGGCTCGCTCCAAAATCACTGCAGATGGTGACTGCAGCCACGAAATTAAAAGACGCTTACTCCTTGGAAGGAAAATTATGACCATCCTAGAGAGCATATTAAAAAGCAGAAACATTATTCTGTTCACAAAGGTCCATCTAGTCAAGGCTATGGTTTTTCCAGTAGTCATGTATGGATGTGAGAGCTGGACCATAAAGAAGGCTGAGCACTGAAGAACTGATGCTTTTGAACTGTGGTGTTGGAGAAGACTCTTGAGAGTCCCTTGGACTGCAGGGAGATCCAACCAGTCCATCTTAAAGGAAATCAGTCTGGATGTTCATTGGAAGGACTGATGTTCAAGCTGAAACTCCAATATTTTGGCCATCTGATGCGAAAAGCTGACTCATTTGAAAAGACTCTGATGTTGGGAAAGGTTGAAGGCAGGAGGAGAAGGGGACGACAGAGGATGAGATGGTTAGATGGTATCACTGACTCAATGGACATGAGTTTGGGTAAACTCCAGGAGTTGGTGACGTACAGGGAGACCTGGAGTGCTGTGGTTCATGGGGTCGCAAAGAGTCAGACACGAATGAGCGACTAAACTGAACTGATTCATGTTCAGGTCATGTTCAGTTCAGTTCATTTCATTTCAGTTCAGTTCATTCATATTCATGTCAATAAAATCAATATTCATGTCAATAAAATCAGTTCATATTCAGTTCAGTTCATGTTCAGTTCAGTTCAGTCATTCATATTCATGTCAATAAAATTGAGATTATTTTTAATGGGTTAAAATATATACATCTACTTGTGGATGATATTCTTTGTATATTTTAAATACACTAGGGTGTAAACATATACAATGGTATAAGATAAATTAGAGACCTTGGTTCTGAAACTTTAATTTCTTGAACAACTCTATCATTTTGTTGAGCTGTGTCTTAGAAATTCAAAACAGGTGAAAACAGACTAGCACCAATATGATTGTTGCAAATATTTTGATAAAAAAAATACAAAGATGTGAGTAAGAAGACTATGTCTGTGATATGAGCATGGAGTGTACTGGAAACATCACACTTGGGCTTGAGTGATGAAAACTCCCACTCCCAAAACCCAGTATGTATCATCAACACAGTGAGTGTTCATTTTCCAAAGCAAAGAGAAACCAAGAAGATGTGGAGTTTCTCCATTAACTGTGAGGGTTTTCACATGTTCCTCATTTCACTTTTCCACAGCCTTGTTTAAAGACAGAGGAAAAGAAAATGAACTTTATAGCCTGATAATCTCAGAGAAATCACCAGAGCCAGTGGACATCATCTGTCATGGTGTAAATGGATCACACGGAAGATGCACTATCAGAACCTGGGCATTTCGGGAAAAAAAGGAAATTATAACTTGAACCTAACATAAAAAAATGTCAGTTTTATGCAAAATTCATTTCATATATACTTCCTCCATTTTATATCCTAACAATGTGTTTAACTAGTAAGTCTTAGCATTACAGAGGACAGTATCTCCTAGTTTTCTTTTTATTTCTGAGCATTATCTGAAAAATTCTGGATCACTGAGTTTATTCAATATATAAGGACATTTTTCTAACTCCTAAAGAGCTGAAATTGCATCCACATGTAAACTCATCATGGCATTTCCCCTAGTTCCCTAAGATCCCAACACCAAACCACATCCCAGTGGGAATCTCGGACACCAGTGCCTCTCCATGTTTATCTCTCACAAAGGGATATATTCACCAGTTGAAAGTTGCTAATTCAGGTTGAGAATTCATCATGCTCCATAGAAAGCCAGGATACAGACAAGGGAGACAAGATTCTGGGACACAAGGGAGAAGTGGTCTAAAGAGCCAGCCTTCACTATGATAAGAAGAAAAGGAAAAAATAAAGAAGTTAATAAAAAACATCCAGGCAGAAAAGTTAGAAGCAGAGAACTAAAGGTTTGCAGGTTCTCAGTCAGGCATTTCAGGAAAAAAAGCAGACACAGCCCCAGACCCGGGAGAGGACACGTACCTGAGAAGCTGCCATTTCCTCCTCTTCTGCCTCCTGCTCTGCATCTTCCCTGGGGATGTTATGCTGCAAACACACTTCTGCATCTTGAGAAAATACCTTCAAAGGCATCCTCAGAGCTCTTTAACCTGCAACTACTTCACCTACAGATAAAAGGACCTTGAAAAGCTGGAAAGACACACCTCTCCTGCCCTCTCTCAGGAGAGATTCAGGCACAATCACTTCCTGCCTGGAGACCAGCCTATGGACTTATTTCTTGATTGTTCTCTCCCCATAGAGAGCTCCTAACCCTCTGCTCACACAGATGATGTGAGTTGACTTCCCCGGTCCAAATCCAGCTAGACGAACACTGCTGCCTCTCCGCGGACTGACACTGGGTCTCACCTCTCACAAATGGACCAGAAGCCACGTCCTTAATCCGGGCCTCCCCTTAGAATCCCCTGGAGCACTTCCTACACACCACACTAGTGCTCCCACAGGACTAATAGAGAAACTCTGGGGAGGGCACCAGGGAGGTCATTTCCTAACACTGGTCATATGACCCTGATGGGAAACAGATGGAAATCACTTGGCCAATGGTTCAGATTCTTTCTGAACCATTTCAGTGAATATGAACCCCTTGAGGTCAGGTCCCCACTCTAAGAAGTTATGAATCTGCAGGTCTGAGGTGGGTTCATTAAATACGCCTTTAGCATGTTCTCTGTTTTGATGTTTCTCCCCCAAGACCCACACTCAGGAGCCCTGAGCTTCAGCCCTCACACCCAGCACAGCTGAGAGCTCTCAGAAAGGGAGGGTTTAGGGTGGGAATTTCTGAGGGAGGTCAGGCTAGAACCAGGCAGAGAAAGCTGCAGTACTTGGGGTTCCGGCCTTTCTAAGTGACCCTGGGTGAGGCACTGTGGGTTCCCCAGGCTGAGTGTGGATGCATTCATTCAAACCAAGAGGAACAGGATTCTGATGAGCTCTGAGGGTGTCCGTGAAGGGGGGCCTGTGAAGTAGGCCCTGGGGTTCAGCAAGACTGCTGGCCTCAAGGAAGTGGGTCACCTAGAGCAGGTGCTCACAGGACTGGCTGGTGTGAGTTCAAGGACCTGTAGGCTGCCTGCTCCCCAGACAGACGCTGAGGCAGCAACAGCATGGAGCAGTTCAGCGGAGCTCTCAACAGTGCTCTGTATGATCCTTCTTATTAGAACCGTCACCATGCCCCAGCAGTTACAGAGAGGGGGAAAGTACAATGGAGAAATGATGGGAAATGCATGATCAAATTATATGAGGCTTAAGGGCAGTAACAGATGTCATCCCACAGTGCTACCTAATAGTTTACTGTTATGATTCTTTCCTGCAACCTTAAATAAGATGGGAGAGGTTAATGGTGGTGATAGGTAAAGACTTCATTCATTACACATCAACTGTATCACCGGAAACCATTCAGTTTTATTGATCACATGTATGAATAGCACATGTAGTCAGAATGAAACCTCTTACAATCCACTGTGTGATCCTTGATTAGAATACAGATTACAAGCATAGACTTGGGTATTCATTTTTCTGATACAATTTGGTCTGAGAGTTGCACTTTCTATGTTTACAAAATGAAGGCTAATCATTTAATAAACAAGACAGATTAATTACATGATTTTTCTGGGAAGGGTTTCCCATACTTTTCCAGGGTACCAGAGAAGTCTTTATTTCAAACATGTCAATTAATATTCATGACTTCTGTTAATATTATAAAGATGCATCAAAATTTCAGTGAACTGTCATTGTATCATCCTTAAAAAGCAAGTGACATTGAAATTTTAGAACAAACCTCTGTGGAATTGTTTCCTGAACACTTACATCGTGGTGACCTACAGGGTTGCTTGACACCGATGACAAACACCTCCATTTAGATGTTCAGGGTACATGTTGTATTACTGTGTCCTTAATGTCCTCAATGGAGAATAAATACCAATGGTTCCTACCTCATGTAGAAGGGATTCTCTTCTCGCTGAGGCAGCAACCATCAAAACCTTACGTTCACACGCACAGTACAAACAAAGCATGACTTGTGGTGTTTTGAGGGTTGAGTTACTTTCATGTGGTTTTCAAATAATCTCAAATATGTCAAAACAAACAAGAACACATTGCTAATAAGTGTGCCGCTCCACACACAAGCCTCCATCCTGGGATCCATCCTAACATATCAATTTTCAGTGTTTTAACTACAGATAGCTATCTACAGTAATCCTCCTTCAGACAAAATATGAAGTGCTTCCTAGTCTGCATTCTCTGATATTTATTTAGATTTGATTTTTATTAAAACTTCCCTACTTTTTTTACATCATCACATATCTTTTCTGTATAAATGCTCTCGTGTTTTCTAAAGCGTACATTTAGGACTAACCTCTTTCATCACTTACTACATTACTAGGGTTCCTCTCCAGTATGTGCTCTCTGATGTCTAGTGAGGTGAGAGCTCTGATTAAAGCCTTTGCCACTTTCCTTACATTTAAATTTTTAAGTTTTCTCTGAAGAATGAATTCTCTGATGTTGACTAAGACTTGAGCTCTGGGAAAAGGCTTTGCCACATTCTTTACATCTGAATGGTTTCCAGTACAAATTCGCCAATGTTGAATAAAGCTAGGAATTTAGTTAAAGGCTTTGCCACAACCCTTATAAGGTTTCTCTCCAGTATGAATTATCTGATGCCTATTAAGAGTGGAACTATGATTAAAGGTTTTGCCACACTCTGTGCATTTCTTAAATCTTCTCTGCATTACCAACGTGAATTTGCAAATGTCTAGCAAGAATTGATATCTGATTAAAGGTTTTTCCACGTTACATATATTTATAAGGCTTCTCTCCAGTATGAATTTGCTGATGTCGAATGAGATATGAGCCCTGGATAAAGGCTTCGCCACATTCTGTACATTTGAAAGGTTGCCATCCTGTATGAATTTTCCTATGGCTACTTAGATTTCATGGTTTAGCAAAGACTTTACCACATTTATGACACTTGTTATGCCTCTGAGGATTTTGAATACTCTACTGTTGAATAAGTTTTAAAGATTGATTTAAAACTTTCCCATACACACCACAATCATAAGTATTCTTTCCAATGTGAACACTCTTATATAGAGAAAGATGCAATCTTTGATAAAATATATTCATATATTTATTACTTTTAAAATCGTTGTCTGAAGACTGAGGTCCCTGATGTTTCATAAGACTTGAGTCATGGTCAACGTTATGCCCAGTTTCACTGCATGAAAATCTTCTCACTTCCCTATAAATATTCTTGTGATTGTTGGAGTTAGCACTCTTGCTTAAAGCTTTACCCATGTTACTGCACATGAAAAATTCTTTCACGTTAAGTATACCATGATATGTCTTCAAACATGATGGTTGGATTAGACTCTTTCAAAATAATCAACATTACAGGCTGGAACGAAGAGAAAATAGCTGTTGGTTGAAGAATATTGAACCCTGGCTAAAGAATCCCTCAAATTGATTATACCAAGAATTTTTAACCTCAATTTTAAATACCCGGGTTTCAGACATATTTGAATGTGTGTTAGATTGAAGCCTGCATTCAGAAAGGTTCGAATGAGTATTTGCAGTATAGACTAGGTGACTTTCCAGATTTTCCACATTTCCTTTCAGAGAACAGGTACATTTCAAAAAAGCGTAAGTCTTTGCTTCCAAACATACACTTCTCAGCAGATGTTAATGACTGAAATGAGTGTTTTCCCCAGTTTGATTCCCATCCTTGATTTCTCTTGGCAGTAATGTTTACATTGTGAGAAACCATCCCAGTTTGGTTATGTCCATCATAACATCCTCTCTGCCTTTCACACGCTCTCATATCTTCCTAGTTTTTTGTGAAATGTAAATTTCCAATGTGAAATCTTTCATATATTGTTAACTTTTCTTTGGGGAATAAATCTTCTAAGCCTGGCTTTTGGGGCATCAAACCCTGGATGTCATGAGAAGACACAGCTGAAAGCAAATGACAAGTTTTTCCACTCACTATTCTCAGTGAATATACTTTACGACTTACATAAAATGGATACTTGCTTAGCTAGTTTAGGAATAAAACAGACACAGAAGGAGTCAAGACGGCAGAGGATTAGGAAGATGTGGAGTTCATCTCCCTCCACAAATGCATCGAGAATACGTCAGAAATGGAACAATATTCACAGAGCCCCTTCTGAACACGAGCAGGGGACCTTGACACCTGAAAGGACAAGAAAGATCCCCTCATAGCCAGGCAGGACCAATGAGACAAGAAGGAAAAGGGTGAGGAGAGGAAGTGGGGCGGGACCTGCAACCCTAGAGGGGAGCTCACCGGGACGGAAGGGAGCCTCATTCTCTGATGGGAAGAGAAGGCAGCACCAGTCAGAGGCAGCAGGACAGAGTGAGACCTCGGCAGACGGTCCTGACCCCAGCCCTGCTCCCCCAAGCCTGAGAGGGTGTCCACCATTGCACACAAGGGCTGGGTCCTCAAATGTGGGGCTTGGAGAGCAGACCCAGGCAGAGGACTGCGGTTGGCTGTGAGGAGACACCTGAAGGGACGGGAGGGAGGGAGGAGCTCTGCAAACAGGATGCTTGTGGAGGAAGCCTGAACCACCATAGCGCAGAGCAGCGTCGTTGAGAGACACCCGAAGGGCAAGGCCGCCATCCCATCCTCTGTCCACGTGTCCCAGCCATTGCCTCACTGGGCACTAGGGAGGGCTCCCACCACGGTCAGTTCAGTTCAGTCGCTCAGTTGTGTCTGACTCTCTGCGACCCCGGGGACTGCACGGCAATCTCATGACCCCAGCTGCTGCCTCCTCCTCAGCAATCTTAAATTTACAAAGCAAACATTTTCACCAATGCAGGGTCCCTACGAATTCTGTAATGCAGTTCTTAACACAAGTGTTTTTATTTGGGCGTGTTCTACTAGATGTTTCGAATCCAAAATCATACATGATCTTGATATATACTTAATCAGAAAGTAAGAACAAATGGGACACAGTCCTGGTAAGCTTCATAACAAACGAGATAAACTTAACAAAGTAACAGTTCTTAAGAAATCAAACAAGAATTGAGAGCTTAAAATATGCTGGAGTTTTTTAAATCTCAATTCTGGTTTAATTTCTTTAACACAGGGAACTCTACTCATTGCTCTATGGTGACCTGAATGGTATGGAAATCTAAAATAGAGTGGATAAATATTATATCTGTGCATGCTGCTAAGTCGCTTCAGTCACATCCGACTCTTTGCGACTCTATGGACCGTAGCCCGACAGGCTCCTCTGCCCATGGGATTCTCCAGGCAAGAATCCTGGAGTGGGCGGCCATGCCCTCCTGCAGGGATTATACAAATACACACACACACACACACATATATACACATATAACGGGTTAGTCTGCAGTACAGCAGAACCTAACATCACTGTTGTAAAGCAACTGTACTCAAATTATTTTTTTAATTAAAAAATTCTTTATATAATCTAAAAAGTTTAATAGTGAGAATAAACCACAAGCATTTAGGTGATAAATGTTCTAATTTCCCAGTCAACAATTTAAAAATTCTATATGTTAAGTAAATATAAAAATATTTTAGGTTTCTGTAATGGGGCAAATACACTTAACATGTTGACATTAGTTCGTACTAAGAAAAGACAAACTTTGAAGAAATCTTCAGGTTTATATTTCTCATTGGAGAGAGGTCCCTTATGCAGTGAAGAAATTAGTTGAGTATGAAATTTATCAAGTCATATGTGTAGTTTGCAGGGGATTGGAAATTATAAAGCAGAAAACATCTTTATAAAAGATCTTTATAAAACATGCTTTATAAAATATCTGTCCCCAGTATTCCTAGAAGTTTGGCAGTTTGTCCATGACTCCACTCACACACTTCTGTCTAGAGGCAGAACCAGAGCTCTTAAAAGGGCAAATAGATGAGGAAACATGCAAAGGGTCATATTTCATTTTCACTTCATATTTCATTTCATTTTCATTTCATATTTCATTTTCATTTTCTTGGGCTCTATCTATGCAGAAATTGACTGCAGCCATGAAATTAAAAGATGTTTGCTCCTTAGAAGAATAGTTATGACATACCTAGACAGTGTATTAAAAAGTAGAAGTATAATTTTGCCGACAGAGGTCCATATTCTCAAAGCTATGGCTTTTCCAGTAGTCATGTGCAGATGTGAGCATTGGATGATAAAGAAAGCTGAGTACCAAAGAACTGATGCTTTGGGACTGTGGTGCTCGAGAAGACTCTTGAGAGTCTCTTGGATAGCAAGGAGATCAAATCGGTTTAATCCTAAAGGAAATCAACCCTGAATATTCATTGGAAGGACTGATGCTGAAGCTGAAGCTCCAACACTTTGGCCAGATTCGAAGAGCTGACTCATTGGAAAAGACCCTGATGCTGGGGCCGAGACAGAGCAAGAGGAGAAGGGGACAACAGAAGATGAGATGGTTGAATGGCATCACTGACATGAGTTTGAGCAAATTCAGGGAGACAGTGAAGGACAGGGAAGCCCTGGCATGCTGCAGTTCATGGGGTCGCAAAGAGTTGGACATGACTTGGCTCCTGAACTGAACTAACTGAACATAGTTACTCAAAAGTGTGCAGAGTCTTCCTAGAATCCCCGAGAGATGGAAGACCCATCAGGTCAGGCAGGATGGCACAGGCCAAGAGGAGAATCTTGGTTCTCACTGTGAATGTGAAAGTTAAGCACTGGAGAAAAATAAAAGAAAGATCCAGGAGCCAAGAATGAGGCTGGAGTTGACCATCTGTGACACTGAGGGAACTAAACCCAGATTTCTCCAAAATCATTTCCACTGAAGCAGATCTTCCCAAACCACATGACGAAGGATGACTTCCTCATGGATCCTTGGACCTCTCAGCTGAGTCATCGGCTCCATCCATTCACAACTACCTGGGTGTGTGGCTTTTCTCTCCATTCTCCCTCCATCCTGAGGAAACTTTCTTTGCTCCAGAAAGGTGACTGGGTGTGGCTTAGAGATCACAAGACCTGTTCATCACAGAAAGGAATGTCTGTTCTGCTAGAGACTCATCAGATTCCAAAGCAGTATCTATTCAGATTAGAAGAAAAGTTGTGGTAGAATGTTAACACAGCCTAGAAAATGATTTCCCCAAAAACTTTATTAAAAGCACCTTTACAACACTGCTGCTGCTGCTGCTAAGTCACTTCAGTCATGTCCAACTCTGTGCGACCCCATAGACGGATGCCCACCAGGCTCCCCCTTCCCTGGGATTCTCCAGGCAAGAAGACTGGAGTGGGCTGCCATTTCCTTCTCCAATGCATGAAAGTGAAAAGTGAAAGTGAAGTTGCTCAGTCATGTCCAACCCTTAGCGACCCCATGGACTGCAGCCTACCAGGCTCCTCCGTCCATGGGATTTTCCAGGGAAGAGTACTGGAGTGGCGTGCCATTGTCTTCTCCATTTACAACACTAACAAATACATAAAACTCAGATCCTGAGATTCTGGTCCAGTACTACTAAGGCAAAAGTAAGTGGTGGAAATCTGATTTGAAGAGGAGGGTACCATTCATTTATACCACAGAACTAAGAGTATTACCACTAATCTAGTATGAAGGATGAGGATTATCTCAGTGGAGAGGAAGGTTAAAAATCATAATGAATCATCATGAAGTCTCTTTCTCAACTCACATATTCCCATTACCCCTGGAAAGCAGGGATCTGAAACTCTATTATAAGAAGCAGAAGAATCTAGGAGACATTCTAGAAATGCAGGAACCAAAACCCTGAGGATAGATAAGGGATTCTGGAAGGAAGTTATTCTCACCCAAGGAGGCCAGGTTCCCTGGTTGGGGAAGATCCCACAGGCCGCTGAGCAGCTAAGCCCATGTGTCACGACTTCTAAGCCTGTGTTCTAGAGCCCGGGAACCACAGCGACTGAGCCCATGAGCCAGAACTACTGAAGGCCAGGCACCCTGGTCGCTGTGCTCTGAAAGGAGCCACCGCAGTGAGAAGCCCGCTCACGGCAACGAGAAAAGCCCGCACAGCAGTGAAGGCCCAGGAACATCAAAGACAAATAAATGAACAAAATTTTATATTTAAAAAAAAATAAAGAAATATTTTTTGGATGTCCAGAGGAGTCAGGCCTCACAGACCAGTTGCCCTTCACCCTTTCTTCTAATCTGGCCTGAACCGGCACACTCACCTTTCCAGACGGATGGCAGAGGAGTCTCCTGAGCCTCTGCATTGCCTGCGATCCCTCATCCACCCCCACCCAGGCTAGACTTCCCACCCTCAGCTCCTCTCTTCCTTGCGACCCCAGCTCTGGCCCTTCCAGCTCCACCTGTGGTCAGATTTTTCCCTCCATCACTGTCTGGATGCTCCTGGCAAGTCGCTCCCTCTCTGCTCTTTTCTAGTCTGGAAAACGGAGAAGCTCCCTGAGCCCATGTCACTACCAATCCTGGAGAGGCACACAGTGAATGCCTGAGATTTACTGTGTTCCGGGCTCAATTCAGGACCAAGTACCACCCATTCAATGAGCATTTTTAGATTTTCCTCTTCCCCATCCCGGTGGCCGGGCTGAGCATTCATCTTAAGCAAAGACTGCTATGCTGATTTCTGAGTAAGAACACCAAGAAACCACTTCACTGTCCATAGAACAGGTCAGACATGAGGTCTATCCAGTGAGATTGTGGGTTAATAAGGGATAGTCACGCTCTCAAGGTCTCCAATAATGAGGAATCGGTCCTTAGCCTTTCCACGTACTTTGCCATTGGAGTTATTTGGGGTTACTGGAGGAAAGGGGTCATTTCCCCCTGAAGAGCTGCCCTTGATCTTGGACTTTCCATCTGAGTCACTTGCAGGGAGTGAAGAGTTTGCCCATCTCTCCTCCACCGCTGACCTCCAGATGGTTCATTTTCACCACCTGGGGAGACAGGAGAGTGATTGACAGATGCTGAAACACTGACTAACCTTGGAACTCCCAGCGTGCTAGCTATATTCAGACGTCTCCTGTGCTCAAAGATCTTCAGACCCCCATGATGAGATCCTACCCTTGCCCTCAACCCTACTCCCTGGCCCAGACTCCCCCTCACCTCCCCAGCCCAGCCAGAATCTGCCCCACAGATGCTCAACCCACACTGATTCCTTGGTGCCCTACACCCTCGCGTACCTGCTGCATTGTGTCCAATTCTTTGCCACCCTTTGGACTGTAGCCCACCACGCTCCTCTGTCCCTGGGTTTCTCCAGCAAAGAAATTCAATTATACATATACATATATACATACTCTTTCATATTCTTTCCTTTATGGTTTATCACAAGATACTGACTGTAGTTCCCTGTGCTACACAGTAGGACCTTGTCATTTATCCATTCTGTATTATAATAGTTTGCATATGCTAATCCCAAACTCCCAATCCATCCCTCCCTCACCGAGCTCCCCCTTGACCACCAATCCTATATCAAGCAGACCTCTGTGTCCTCTGTAGAGCTTAGAAATGAGTTTGTTTGATAGTCACTGATACAATGTCCACATCAATCTCACCTTCCTTGAAACTATTGCTCCCACACACACTTGTTTTTTTTTTAAAAGCACTGACTTTAGAGCAGCAGCCCTGGGTTTGAGTGCCGATTATGTCGGCTATGACAGATTCATTGGGGAAACACAGACAACTCCTCTT